CTACCTTTTATAAAACCATGTTGTATTTTGTCCCAATTACCATTGACCTCAATGTCCTTAACCACTTTCTCCTTCAAATTTTTTCCTCAGACCTTGCATACTACAGATGTCAAACTAACAGGCCTGTAGTTACCCGGATCACTTTTTTTTCCTTTTTTAAAAATAGGAACTACGTTAGCAATTCTCTACGGTACAACCCCTGAGTTTACAGATTCTATAAAATTCTTGCTAATGGGCTTGCAATTTCATGTGCCAGTTCCTTTAATATTCTTGGATGAAGATTATCTGGGCCCCCTGATTTAGTACCATCAAGCTGTTCGAGTTTGGCTTCTACCTTGGATATGGTAATATTTACCTCCATAGCCTCATTCCCATTTGTCATCCTGCCATTATCCCTAAGCTCCTCATTAGCCTCATTAAAGACTGAGGCAAATTATTTGTTTAGACACTGGGCCATGCCTAGATTATCCTTAACCTCCACTCCATCCTCAGTGTTTAGCGGTCCCACTTCTTTCTTTGTTTTCTTCTTATTTATATAGCTACAGAACCTTTTACTATTGGTTTTAATTCCCTTTGCAAGGTTCAACTCTACATGGCTTTTGGCCTTTCTCACTTTATCCCTACATGTTCTGACCTCAATAAGGTAGCTTTCCTTGCTGATCCCTCCCATCTTCCATTCCTTGTAGACTTTCTGCTTTTTCTTAATCACCTCTCTGAGATGCTTGCTCATCCAGCTTGGTCTACAACTCCTGCCTATTAATATTTCCCCCTTTCTTGGGATGCAGGCTTCTGATAGTTTCTGCAATGGACAATTGGATAATGCAAGCTCACATAGGAAGGGACACTACATCTAAAAGCATTCACTGTTTCTCTCTCTCACGAGGGTGGAGCAAGGGGGACTCCCACCTCACTCACCCAAGTCTATTATCAGGGCTTGAGCTCACTCTCCCCAATTCTTCCTTTAAATACATTTATGGTTATTAAAAGATAAAAGAATGTTCAGTAGAGATTGGGTTTGATGCCACTCAGTCACATAGCTCCTGCCATGGAAAAATGGATACTTTCCTTCAAAAGTTCTGCTTCTCATGGATTACCAGAAGGAAGCAATGTGGTTTAGTGGATTAGGCACGGGGTTGGGACAGCTTGATTTTAGTCGTGGCCCTGCGACACTGGACGAGTTACTATCAAATCCCCCACCCTGTAAACGGGGGGATACTATTACTGACTAGCAGGGGTGTTGTGGAGATTAACTACTTTATTTTTGTAAAGCACTGTATAATTTATAAGTATTATTATAAACTGCAAAAAAGGATTCTCTGAGCCAGACAATGCACTCAGAAGCTTATGGCAGCACAATACAACAGCAGCACTAGCTACCTGGGTCTGTCAGACACTGCACTGATTAGACACAGTCTAATTCCCTAACCCTCCATTATTTTCTTCCCCCGAAATTCAGATAAGCAAGTCAGACGCCGGAGTGGCTACTTGCCCCAAATGCCACTACATTTACTACTGCTTATACATGGATGCTGAGAAAAGCTTTAAAAAAAATTGGTTACAGCATGTTCCCTAAATTCAGTTCTTACCTTCTTAATTTGTCTAGCCAGTGCCCTTTGATTTCACCAAGCAGGTGGGTATCAGATAAAAACATGGCCTTCAAGACAGAAGCCGAAGACTGTTTGCTGCTCCTGTGAGCTTCTATTTTAACTTCTGGCCAATGACACTGAAATATCACCACATAATAAACTAAGAATTCACAAAAGATTAACACCAAGACAACCAGACACAAAAGCTTCAGCAGAAAACAGCCTCTCTTCTTCAAGTGAAGGATCTTCATAATGCCCAAGTCGGATCTCATCATTGCCATGTCAGCCTAGAGAAGTTGTTCCCCTGGGGCAAAGCACCCTCCTTCATACAACAGGAAATGGTGGGGTCCAATCAGAGGTTCATATGGTCTCCACATTGGTACAGAATCCCTGCAGAAACAATATAAAATAAAAAGATATTTACAAGCCCAGTGTTCCAGTCATTAATAATCAAATACAGTTCATTTACAAGATGAAAAGTCACATCCCAATTCCTATTAAATTACTACCATTATTTTGAAAGCCTTGGAGCCCTGTAACTAAAAACAAGAATCACAAAGGCAAAGTTGTTTTCCCAGACAAAGGAATCAGATTATTGCCTAGGAAATCTGAAAATCCAGCCTGGTCTTTATTACAAGCTCAGGCTACTCAAACCACACCTCTCCTTCCCCCAATCCTCTAATTGTAAATTGGTTCTGAAGAAGAATAGGTGTGTGGCTAAGACAATAGAGGACTGAGAGCCACAGCTTCCGGCTCTACCACAGGAAAAATTTCACTTAAAGTCTCTTTACCTCAGTAACATACTTCTTCTCTCCCCACAGAGCTGCTCCAAAGCTAAATTCATTATAAAATTATTGAGATCTTAAGATGCAAGATTCTATACAAATAAAAATTAGTAAAATAAAGTGAATCCGTTATTTGCTTGCTACTCTCCAGTACTGAGTTTGGCATAGCACTCTTCTACACAAATCTCTAACTGCACCAGCCCACAGCTGTATGTTATATTTCTAATATGGTTTTATTATTTATAGTGTGAATGGGACAACAGAGTTATAAAATCACATTGTGGAACTGGGTTACAGCCTAGATCATGACATTTCTCCCTAACACCATCCTGTAGCTAAGCTGCCACATGGGTACAGCAAACCAAAGAAAGGGCTAGAACACATACCCTACTATCGGAGTCAGACAACTGTGCACTTCCAGTTACTGGGGCCCAAAGAGAGCGCTTATATTGCTCGGCGTCACTCAATGCTGAAACTAGTTTGTAGGCTAGAAGAAGAGAATGGTCCCAGTGGACTGAAGCAAGTTAGCATACCTGTAAGCAAGAGCAGAATTTGGTCCATTTTATTTAACCTTTGCTAGAATAGGCCTGAAAACCAAAATCAGGGAAAGGAAATTTGTCCAGCAAGTGTCCTTTAATTTCATCATGCAAGTGGGTACTTTGTTTTGAAGAGGCTATTCCGTCACTTCACTTTCATACTGGTCACAGGCTCCCAGAAGGAAGTCTATAGCAGGGGCCAAAACCCAGGTGGCCCTGCTGAGGACACATGGTTAGTGAATTGGGATGCTGTGACCAGGGGACCCTGTCTAGCAGTGGGCTGGATTGTGGGATTCCACCCTAAGCAAAGTATGGGCCTTGGCCTGTCATTTGGAAGTGTTGTCTATGGAGAGATTGAGTGAGGGGTCAAAGGTACAGCTCAGCCTTGAAGCATAACATATTCTATTACTACTACTACTAAAATAATAATGATGTATAGGAGGCACTGAGATGGGAAGGGAGAGCAGCCGAATATATTCGCATTCAAATCATCCCAGGACACACTATGGCAAACGTGACTGCTTTCTGGCACAGTCACCAGAATTTAATAGGATTCCAAATTCAATATGATTTAACTGACTTCAATTAATTTCACTGTGTGAAAGCCTAACAGATTAGTAGATTTCCTCGAGGGTGTGGTAAATTCATTTAGAGCTTTGCAGTAAGGAGGAACAGATCTTTGGGGGCAACAGTGTTTTTAAAGGGGAATTCAGGAGATTTCAAAGTCTTGGTGACACAAGAAGTCTTTCCTTCTAGAGATTACTTTTTCAAACTGTCTTAACCCTAATCCAAAACAAAGGATTCTCCATCCTGAGTGAAAGAGATCTGGCAGCATCCAAGACTAACAACAGTAAAGGAAAATCCAAAAAGGCCTGAGAGTGGACCTTTTCCTGGATACCTGGGGGGAAGCTCTTTCCTTCTGTTTAGGAGAAGAAATGCCAGTACTTTCAAAATACCACCTCCTCTACAATCATTTGCAGAAAAATACTCTCTTTCTGGGGCAAGTGCCTGCAAGAAATAGCAAAAGAAGGGACTGCAGTCCCACAGGAAAGGAGGGATGCTAGGTTAACCTTAGAGCAAAGTGCCTAGTCCTCCATGTGCAGCCTCTCCCAGGATTTCACTTAGGAGACAGCACAGCATGCCTGAAGCACCTGCTTTTAAGAGACAGCCACTTAGATTGTATTAACTGGGACAGGAGCACAAGTGACAGTGTTTCTCTAAATACTTATTAATGGAAATTTGAATCAATGTTAATGGAAAGCTGTAAAAAAACCACGCACACTTTCTCTTTAAAGATGAGAATTGGACATTTCATTATTTGCTTTCCTATGCTCTGAAGTATTAGGAGACAACATATAATGGTAATACTTACATTCAACTTTTATCTATAGGTATCTAAATATTTTGAAAAAGGCAGGTGAGCACCATTACCCAGATGGAGAAACGAGGCATTTCAAAGGTATACACTAATTTTGGAATCCTCCATGGCTCGGTCTGACATGCCAGTAGCCATTTTTCAGATGTTCTGGGAGCGTTTTATTGGAATTCTGAGTAAACCACCCTTTTGACAGAATCAGGACAGAATTCAGCTCTTCCTACTACAAATGCTCTAAAACCAGTGGGCCAGACAGCCTCTCAATAAGTCCTTGCCTTAAAGAAAATTAACATTGGCAACATGCCACAAGCAGCTTACTTTCTCAAGAAAGCCTACACCTGATCACGAAGTTACCTCTTTTCAAACATGGATTTGTCAATGTTACCAATATTTAGAAACATTATCTTTTCAAGACAGCAAACAGGCATCAGTCTGGGTCAAGGACTATACTTTTTCAATGTCACTTAATATGTTAACAGTAGTGGGTCAATCTTTGCTATGTGCTTTAGAGGAGAGCAGGAAATAATACAAAGGCAAAAACCTCAAAATGCAGCAACTGTTCACTCATTAGATGATAGAAAACACTCAAACAGCCACAATAAACTAACCTGCAAATGCACATTTTCTGTTCATTAAACTACATATGGCTAGATTATGAGCAAGAAAATAGCTTCCACAGTCCTGTTTCATACAGGAGACAGCTCCACGCATACCCAAGTACATGCTAAATATCCTCTTTGTTCTTCTGTTTGTTGTCACCTGTTAAAACTTGATTTTCTCCCTTTCTTCACACTATGAATAGGGTCATTACCTCTCACAAGTTGTCCTGTGGGACAACAGCCATATTATGAAGAAAATGCATAGTTATATGATATTCTTCAGTTATGATACAAGAACTGTAACAGCAATGCAACATCCTAGACCCAAATTAAATTTAGGAACCACAGGAATTACAACATTAAGCAAATCAATGGTCTGTCTAATCTGGTACCCTGTGTCTGACAGAGACCAGTACCAGATATTTCAGAAGGAGGAACAAAAATCTCCTTAACAGTCAGAGTAGACTGATTTAAATTACAGATTTCAATCATCAAACAGGAAACTTTGATTTAAATCTTTGATTTTAATCTTGTTTTGCATTTGTTCTTTTTAGTTGTTTTCCTAAAGAAAAGCTGATCGACATTAAAACATGTTGATTTGCTACGAAATATAGCTGTCACACTAAATTTGGCACTTCTTAACTAGAAGGGTAAATAAATATTTATAGATTTAGTGTAAGAAATTATATAGTTTAACATACATTTATTCAGATTCTTAATGTTTACATTTTTATGTTGGAAAATGATGAATGATGCTTTTCTTATTTACTAGATCAGGGGTCGGCAACCTTTCAGAAGTGGTGTGCTGAGTCTTCATTTATTCACTCTAATTTAAGGTTTCATGTACCAGTAATATATATTAACGTTTTTAGAAGGTCTCTTTCTATAAGTCTATAATATATACCGGTAACTAAACTATTGTTGTATGTAAAGTAAATAAGGTTTTTAAAATGTTTAAGAAGCTTCATTCAATATTAAATCAAATGCAGAGCCCCCCGGACTGGTGGCCAGGACCCGGGCAGTGTGAGTGCCACTGAAAATCAGCTTGCGTGCCACCTTCGGCACGCGTGCCATAGGTTGCCTACCCCTGTACTAGATTATGGTTAATTTTTTTTACTTGTGATTTATGTCAAGCAGCATTTGGATGGAAATTGGAATTCAATTAAAAGTGTACAAAACCAGCTTTTTAAAATATTATCAGTTGAATATAGCTACCTTAAATGTTCTGGATACATAAGGGGGGAGTGAGTAAGCTTTAAATGCAAAACATGTTTTGATAAACTTACTGTTTATTTTAAAAAGAGAGACAAGGTGCGTGAGATAATGAATTGTTTCTGCATATCTACTTCAAGATTTTAGAACAAATAGATCTCATCCTTCTGCACAATAAGCTTTTCTGCTTTTTCAGTAACTAGTTCATTCAAAGTTGAAATGAGCTAGTTGAATGAACATCCAGCAGTTCAGTGGTGTTTCTTTAAAACTTCAGCAGCAAACATGTACTACTTGAATGTTTTATTTAAATGATTTCAGTAAGTTTAGTTCTTAACATAGGTTTATTTGAAAACAACACTAAATTTAATTTTTTTTAAAATCTGATTTGTAGAGGGGGAAAAAATCCATTTTTATCCACCCAATGGTGGATAAAAGGCTTTAGGAGAAGTTCTTCCTGACCTCAGAAGAATCCAGGTGGTGGATTTTTTGTTTTTGTAAACATACTGCAAGCTACTTAGTATAAAAATCAGAACAAGCAGAAACGATAAGCTTTGAGCAACGATTTTCCCTTTCCTTTAGTGAAAACTCCAATTTCCTTAGTAGACATCTGAAATTACTGGGGGGGGGAAGGGAGAGGGAATAAGGAGGTCTAATAGAAGCAGTAGATAAACACCTCACAACGGAGTCATTCTTCTTTCAGCCAGTCAGGTCTTTCTTCATATTGCTTACATTTCTCACTGGGACCCCATCCTGAAAGGTGCTGAGAGCATCAGTGCTAGCATGGCCGTGTCAGAACCACAGAAACTAAAGATCTATGAACAAGAGGTCAATAAAGTATACTTAGATGACTGGAAAAGTAAACTACAATTACAGAAAAACCTCTAATCTCTGCTTCAAGAGAGGGAAGGGGGGGGGAAAAAAAAGCCATTGGCCACTTTACAAACTCACTGAGCTGTGAAGCTACAAATGAGGCCGGGTTACCCTTGTTTTAACATCATTCTTACCTAGCATTTTAATCAAGGTCAGCATTATAAAACCACAGGATCCTGTTTGCATGTTCCATATTGAAGAGACAAGTGTAAAACAGAAACGTGTTAGGCAGGCACATACCACACAAAGCCTTACCGTGCAAATCATACCTCTGTCTAATACCAGGATTCCACCTTTACCTCCTGCTGTATAGATTGTTACGAGGGAACCACAAACTATCAAAGGGCTGCCAAAGTATTATATGGTTTAATAGAAAATGTTAGTAAGTTACTTGAGTTGCACTAAGGCACGTAAAAGATGGAAGGCAAAAAAACCCTCAAGATCCTTCGCATTCACAAATCCACGCCATGCTTAACAGAAAAAAGGCAAATAAAACCCACAGTTTCATAACCATTGCTCTACTGCTCTCCGGGAGCCTCTCTCTTCATTAAAAGACATTTTACAAATCAACTTTCTCTAGTGCCTCTGCACGCAAAGAGCTACGGGGAAGAGGGGATGAAAGAGCCGAGTCCTCAGTCAAACGATAATCCAGGAAAATACAACCAAAAGCCAGGTGCACGAAAATTATCTTCCTGGTGGAACTGCCATTGAAAGGACATCAGCAATAGTAGAAAACAATACCCCCAACAGACGGGGTGGCGAATCCTCTCTGCAATACCACTTGCTCCAGTGTTTCTGCTCCTGGCTGTTGCTATTCTAGGAGCTGTGCTGCAGATTTTAGGGCTGCCGCAGGTGTCTGATCTGTGCACACATTTCTGGGTTACAGTTTGCTTCTACAGAAAGGACATCGCGAGACCAGCCGAGCATAATTGGCACTAACAGCCAGGAATGCAGCATGACATCTCTTCTTACTAGCCAAATGAAACACTGATCCGGATTGGCTGTTTTACAATTCAACCCAGAGGTTCTGTCATTGGCCAGCTGCAGCTGAATTCTAGTTGGCTGTTTTCAATCGCAGCTGAAATGCTGGCTCACAGCTGTAGCTGCTCTCTTTTTCGACTATAAAAGCTATTTTGAGGAAGACTGGATGTCGTATATTGATCCACAGTAAATCCACACCATGTTTGCAGCCCTGGTTACAGGATAGCTGTTTTCTGACAGGTAGCATTAGAATGATTTGAAGGTCACAGTTAACAGGCAGTTAGACCCATCTCACTGCCAAATGGAATTATGATTTAACCACATCAAAGGACAACCATATTGCCACTAGATATCCCAGCGTAGATGATTGTGTTGTTTATAACTAGACCTTTGATGAAGAATCTAATTAAGGAAAGGTTAAAGGACTTGTGCTTATTCTCATTCTAAAAGAGTGGAATGATGCAATAGTTGTTTTGAAAGTTTTAAGACAGTATGATAAAAGGGATAGCAAGGTTTTCACCTTCTTTTTAAATAGCTCAAGCAGAGGCAATGTATTATAATGAAGATTTCTGAATTATTCAGCAGACTTTGCAAACCGCAGGATTCTGCCAGGGATGACAGAAGAATGACTCCGTTGTGAGGTGTTTCCTCCTCGCTGTATATTTTTACAATGGTAAAAGATTCATATGGGACACCCTATGAATTTGGAAAAATAAAGAATTTGACCATAACATCTCTGCACCTTCTTCCATGTTGCCCTTTACTTGGGGGAGCACCTTCCCAAAACTGATATGTAAAGCCACCATCTTCTCCTCCCTCAAATCTGTCCAAGAGTCTCTCTGTAAAACACTCTTGAGAAACCAGCCAATTGATGGACAGATAGTTGCTGTTTTATTTAATAAGGAAAAAACTGTCATGAAAAGAGTAAACAAACACGTAGAATAAGATAGCAGTTAGGAACTTTTGGGTAAAATGTTCCAGGGACCAACTCAAACTAGGAATTTGGGGTTACTGCGTCCTCAGTGAGCTTACAAATAATAGGCCAGAGCCTAGGCTGTGTTAGGGCAGCTTTATATCAAACTGCTAGCACAAAGCAACCCTAAAGCCAGGGCACTAATCCTTCAGATATTTCGCCTGCTTGGCTGAAGCTCAAGTAGCATAGAATTACTGTAGCACTTCCGACCTTGGATAGTGGGGATGGGGCAAGTTGTTTCCTACTCCCCTGCACCCAAATGATCTGACTGCACAGCACCTTAAAACCACCTTTGCAATGCCTCTCCTCAGCTGCATTGATCTTCTACCACAACTGACGATTAAGGCCATGAAGTCTATCATAATAAAATCCCAAGGCTGGACAATTAGTCAAATTTAAATACAAAGATTATAAAAAATGCACATTATTTATTCCTGCAACATCCATTTTAAACAAATGAAACAGAACCACTGAATTTCTAAACAAAATGATAAAAGGACAGTTTATTCAAAAACTATATAACAAAGGCACAAGGTCATCATAAAAGATACAGAACACTGTAAAATTGCATGTTCGAGTCAAGGAAGTCATGATTTTATTGTAGAAAATGAAGTGCTAACCTGGTAACCAGGTTGGTCTGTGTTTTGGGGAGAGAATTCAACATTAAAAATCTAAATGGAATGTTTAATTTCAATTAAGTTTTGTAACTAGTAATAGTCGTATAAGGTGCGGCAAAAGCAAATCCATGTGTTGAACTTATGTGTTTCAAGCACTTTTCATACTGATTATTCAGTTTTATTGATTCTTGTAGAGCATACTTTAAATCTTCTATCTCGTCGAAAAATTCCTAAAAAAGAAAATTCAGTATTCATCTTTTTTTTTCTAGTTACATTTCCCATTAGCCATTGGAAGGTTATGGTCATACGTCAAAATTTTTCCCTTCTTCAGCCTACAGACACAGCGAGTCTCACAGCCCGAGTCGATAGACTCAAACTTCCACTAACATGCTAAAAACAGCTGCATAAAGATTGCAGCTTGGGCCAGAGCTCAGGCTCTGAAGCCTGGTGAGGGAGGTGGGCTTCAGAGCCGGAGCATCTACACAAGCGTCTACACAGCGACATCAAGTTTATCAACTCGGGCTCTGACACTCACTGCTGTGGGCTGCGTAGACGTACCCTCAGAGTACTCTTCAAATTATACACATAGGAATCACTTTGGTCACCAGTGAGGCTGCAACCACATCTGAACTGAGATGTGACAGTTAACTGCAATACTGCACAACAGCTTACAATTTTTATACATATAGCATCTTTCATACAAACAGTTTCAAAATATTTTACAGACAAATAATAAAAGTAAAGTAAAAAATACGATAGCAGCAAGAGAAATTAAGAGAGAAGGAAAGGAGAGAAGAGTCAATGTTGCAGAAAGACAAAAAGGTAGTTCTAAATGGCAAGAAGGAAAGGTAGTCACACAAACCCAGTGGTGTGGACAGAGATAGTAAAATGGATTCAAGAGAGAAAACAAAGTCCACAAAGACACAGGGAACAAATCAGTGAAAATTTAAAAAACCAAAGGGGTTTCAATGGGATCTCAAAGTGAATCAGGAGCCAAAAGAGGTGTCTGATAATGGAAATGTAGTTACATTTCCCTATATTTGCCAAAGCCAGACAGCAGAATTCCACACATCATGGAGTCTGGAGAGCTGAGAGTTAGGAGTGAGTCCGTAAAGACTGGAACTGCAATAGTCAAGGAGAGAGGAGACTAAGGTATGGATACGGATTTCAGTAATGGAGGAATCAAGGCAATGACTTGCACAGGCAATCTTTCAGAGTTTAGGACAGAAAAAGAATAGCATATCCCAATCACTTACAGAGGAAGTTTAGCAATAGTAGGCAGAATGTAATCACCCAGAACTCTAGCTTGAAAGGTGACACAGAATCTATTACTTTCAAAAGAGACTACATGATAAAGATGCCTCCAGATTTTACTGTTTTCTTCTCTTGTTTTTACTTTGACTAAGTGCTTTGGAGAAGGGAGTCAATGTTGGTTTTGTAACCTGCCACACACATCTTGTAGTCATCTGTATAATAAAATTCCACAATTGTTACTCTGTATGTCACTGTGAAGCCTACAATGTCCATTGAGTCAGCGTGAGGAGACAGAAACAGCTACAAGCATGGCTGAGAGCTCTTTTTGTTCAGAATGTCACCAGATTCACTGTTTTACTGTCCAATTTTTATGTTCTCAGCCACTTTGATTTTATGAATTACACCTGTGTGGTGTGTAGCTACAGTAGGCATGTATCTATGCCAAGCCACGAGTCCTAGACCATTGTGATATCAGAGGTAACTCAACCAATCACCGCCCTTCCTCTATAGCTAATTTGCATGCAACGGTTGTATTGGTTGTATGAGAAAGGCTGCATAGACTGTGGATTATGTGGCCCAACTGCCATGCCCATGTGATATCACAGGCTTTCACCTACTAATATATCAGTAATAACAACCTTAGTGACAAATAATTAGGTCCTCAGACAGATCTCTCATCTGAAATATGAGATTTTCAATCACACAGTCGTAACCCTACCGCCTAAATAAAACATCAGGCTGGGCCATATTGATTCGTAACAATTCTTAGAAAACAGTCACACACCATAAATCACCAATATCACTTCCTGCTGGATCTGTAAGTACTACCCAGCTGAAAACCTGTTGGAGCGGATGAGAATAACAGGACAAGGCAGTACTTCCTTCAAGAGGAAGCACTAAGTTAATACTGAAAACAAGTGAAAAGTTATATCAGTATCTGAATTTATTCTTCAACGAACATTCATGACTATACAATTATTAGGATTACTCTCTACACGCCGAGCATAAAATTTACGAAAGCACCTAACTGGACTGAAGTTCCCAAATCATTTGAACGTCAATGATGCCAGCATGTGCTACAAATGTCCCAGTCCAAGAGCCAATGGATTAATGTTTGTCCTCCAATCAAAAGGACCGAGCTGAAATCATTAGCTTTATGCAAACACAAAAATCTTAAAAAAAAAAACTGAAAGGAAATTTGCTGCTTAAGAAGAAGAAAACTTTCATCTGGATATTTCAATAACTGAGATGAACAGTAAGATTAGCCCTCCAACTCTTACCATCTCATTTCAAGAATTACCAACACTTCCCACTAACTCCCTTCCCCCTTGGTCTAAATGTCAATTTTAACAGCCCAGCAAAGAAGAGTGAAAAGTCCTGCCCTAGGAATAATTAACTCCATGGGAGAATAATCCTCTGCTCACAAATATTACAGAGCAGCAGTGGATACTTAGTTTGGGAAATTTGTTTTTGTTCTCAATGCAATTATCTATCTGTTGGGCAGAACTAAGTCAATCGATTTACACTTCAGTCAGTTTCTCTGTAACACGGAGAAAATAATCTCTCGATTTATCAAGAAGGTGGAGGACTGGAGACAGAAGTCACCCAAGATAAAAGCGTGTTCACAGGAGAATCAAGCAGGTAAAAGCAAAAGTTCATCTGAATTCCAATTACTCCTCTTCCTGAACAAGTGTGTATGGAGGAGATTAAACCAAAGACGTTTTAAATGCTAACAAGCAAACACATATTGGAGTCCATTTGTACAACAGCAAGTACTTCTTCTATGGCTAATATACACTAAGAAGTTAGTTTATAAATTTGTCTATTATGAAATTTACCCTAAAAGGAAGTTACCTTGTCTAATCCAGGTAATTCATTTCTTTGCATTCTCCTTTCTCTAGACAACTTCTCATTTTTTTTCTTCAGCTTTTGAATCTCAAGCAGCAATAGCTCTACATTCAAATTAAAAATTCATATTTTAATCATTACAATTAACTTCTCACACATCTGTCATAATCATATTATACTACATCCAGTGTTTGGTGTTATGAGCAGTAATTTGCATAACAGTATTTTAGAAAAAAAATAATTTACCTTTAAAAATTTGATCCTACACATTTCCAACCACTACGAGATCACAGGAT